AGAAAACAGGTGTGGGAAGCAATGTTGGAGGTAGCTTATGTGCCACAAATCAGTCCAAAAATAAGCAGAATTTTCATCCCCAACATTGCATCTAGCCATTGTTTCATACATGCCAATCAAACCTAAATGGGCCTTCCACCAAAAGGAGTCAATCAATTGTTTCCCGGGTAATTTCCCATAAGAATAGTATGATTCCCACAAGAGATTGATCCATGGTATGTTGTGTCTATTGAAGAATTTATGCATGTTTTTCATCATCAGTGCTTTGTTTTGGATGCGGATATTTTTTATGCCTAGCCCACCCTGATTCTTTGGCCTGCAAACTAGGTCTATGATCCTCTAAGTCAGACCCTCTCCAAAGACAATGTCCGAGGTATTTAATAATCTACTTTTTAATGGTTTCAAGTAAATCCAGGCAGCACATGAAGAATATGGGCAAGTATGCAAGAATTGATTTTGCCAGAAGTAATCTGCCAACTTGTGTCATAATGTAAATATTCCCATTAATTTTTTGGCAATTCTGTTAACCAGAGGGAGACATTGCTCAACAGTAGGCTTTTGTAGTCCAAGAGGAAGGCCCAAGTATTTGAAGGGAAAAGTACCTCTAGAACAGTTCAATGTCTTGGTGAGTAACTCAATTCTCTCTCCAAACAAGTTAATTGGCATTAAATTTGACTTGTTGTAGGTCACTTTAAGACCTATGGCATCGGCAGAAGTGTTGAGCAGGGCCTTGAGACACAACAGTTATTTGGTGTCGGCCTCTATTAATACCAGGGTGTCATCAGCATATTGCACAATTGGGAAGTTAGTGCATGATGTAAGATGTAGTGGGGAGCTAAATAGACCTTGCAGCATTGCTTTTTTCAAGAGGGATTGTAGTAAATCTACAACAAGCACAAAACGTAGTGGCGAAACAGGATCACCTTGTCTAACACCCTTCTTACAAATAAATTTCTTTTCAAGGACACCATTAAGAAACACCTTTGATGAAGCTGAAGTAAATAACATTTTGATCCAAAGAATTCATTTTGGTCCAAAGCCCTTTGCTTGTAAGATCTGAATGATGGCCTTATGCTCAATAATGTCAAAAGCTTTTTCGGAGTCTAATTAAGAACCACCACGGCTGTTCCAGACGTGTGACATTTGTGAAGATATTCATAAGCCCAGCCAGGGCAGTCATGAATAGCTCTATCTTTGAACAAACCATACTAATTGATATGCACTAATTTCAGGATCACCTTTTGTAGCATGTTTGCAAGTAATTTGGTGGTGATTTTAGGGCAACTGCTAATCAGTGAAATTGGCCTGAAATCATTTGGCGTAATTGGGCTTGCCACCTTTGGAATGAGAGTGATGTAAGAGGAATTAATGCTTTCCAGGTTGACATTTCCATGAAAGAAGCCATGTACCAAATTTCTGATGCCAGGCCCAATGATATCCCGTCAAGCTTTAAAGAATTCACTATTGAAACCACATGGGCCAGGAGATTTATCTTTTAGCAGATCCTTTACCACATTATTGATCTCTTCATCAGTAAAAGGTTTTTCAATATCATCAAAGATTGCAGGGTCATGTTGCTCTTCATAAAGTGAAGGTAGATCAAAGTGCATGTTAGTTTCCTCAGAATTCCCTAGTCTTTTTCTGAAAGCATCCCATAGAATGGCTGCTTTGCGTGCATGTTCAGAGATATCAACTTGGTCTTCATTTTTTTAGAATGATAATGTGATTGTGATTGTGATTAATAGTAGCTCTAGCATGGAAGAATTTAGTATTTTCATCACCAAATTTGACACCTTTAATTTTTGCCCCTTTATTTCCAGTATATCTTCTGATTTTTGAACAATCGGAGAAGTTCCTCTTTTAGAATATTTTTACAGTTCCACTCCATGATACTGAGGTCTCTCAATTCTTCAAAAAGGTCCAGCAAGAAGATGCAGCCATTCAAAGCTTCAAATTGTGCCTTAAGTGAATAGAGACTTTTTGCCCCAATTTTAAGAGCTCTTCTCAAGTTTTTAGACTTTGCATTTACTTTTTTGCAGAATCGAGAAATCCTACTGGAACGTTCCGACCATTGGGAACCACATCTTCCAAAGAGTTGTGTTGAATCTAGTAATTTTCAAATCAGGAAATTTTGGCCCTAGGGATAGAAGTACCCACTTTTATCATACATGGAAGATGATCTTAAATAGGCCTAGCTAAGGGCAGAGCAAAGGTGTCAGGATATGAGGTCATCCAAGCGGCGGAGGTAAACAACCAATCACGTTTTCAAGTAGAGGGCTTTCTTGCATGTTGCTACAGCTATATTTTCTACCCTTAAGAGGCGAGTCCACCAGACCCAACTTGTTGATGCTTCATTGAAAATTAACACTGCATTTACTTCTCCTCCATGTTTGTTTCTATCTGATGAATCCCTACTAAAATTGAAGTCTCTCATGACAATCCAATTAATATCAATGGCCATACGGATACCAGAAAACCTGTTAATAAACTCTCATTGTTCTAGAAAAGCACCTCACCCTCAAAGTTACTCCCATTCCAAGAAATTAAAAGACCTCCAGAGGCACCAATAGAAGGTACAAAAGAAAAATCATTAAATTTGGAATGGAAAAAAGCTTCTGATCTAGGCCATGTCAAAAAAGTTATTTTTTTTGTTTCCTGCAGGCGTATAATATCAACATCACTTTCTTCTATTTTTTTATGTAAGGCCAACCATTTTTTCTGGGCATTCAACCCTCTAATGTTCCAATTCAAAATGTTACATGTTCTTGAACTATTCGTGGGCACATAGCTGAGTACGGTAACTGCAAACAAGCCCCAACACTTGTCCGATCAACCATTTAGAGAGGCAAAATAAGAAAATAAGGTGCAACAGAGTAACAAAATCATATTACATATCATTGAACAAGTCTTACACCTGATAGGCATTATCCACAAAGTGCTCTTATTACAAAAGTGATGGAAAGTCTGAAAATAACCAGCTTTAGCCCTAGCACTAACTATGCCAAGACCCCTTGAATTTTTAGTAGCATGTCCATCATTTGGAAACCCTGGGGGAGATTCCTTCTCCTTGGACAAATGCACTTTGGCCAAGATCTCCTTATACTTCTTTTTTTTCAAGTTTCTCCTCCAGTTCTTCCTCAACAACCTTGCAAAAAGATTTTGTAAGAACATTTTTCTAGGCAATAGGAGGTATATTACCGGTTTCACTCCATCAGTTTGGACTTCGAGAAGAATTGTTTGGAGCATCAATTTGATATATAGTATCCAAAACATCGCATGAGTGTAGCGATGCTCTTGCGTCAATAGATGCATTCCTAAAGCACATATGCTCAGATAACATCAAGAAACAAGGGTGGTGGCAGGTAGAATTCTCCATGTTGTTTCAATCTTTGTTGAAAACTACATTTCCAATCACACATATTTTCTATGTTCGGAAAACAAATCATGAGTTACAAACTGGTCGATTATCAAGATGGGCATGTTGTGCCTTTCGTCTAAAAGTCAATACACCGAGAGAAAAATGCATATCTTACTGAAATGATAAATTTATTTTGATTTATCATGAAATATTTGTACTAAATATGACCGTGAAAATTTACATCTTGAATATTAATGTGTCCTATATGATCTGCACTATCGTTTTTATCTCCAACCATGCATGATGAAGAGCCCGCCTCATTGACCTCAGAAAATATTTAGCCATCTTCATTTTGCTATGCTATAGATATGTTTAATAAATGTTTTGCGGCTATATTCGTCATTTTCCTATGCTAAATATATTCGCTAAGATATGCATTTCCCATCTTCATATACAATAAATTACACGTATTTTTAGTTCAGTTCTGATATTATTAATAAAAATATCCATGTTTCAGCAAATCTAATTCATATATATTGCAACCGATTTCGGCAGCAACGCCCGGATATCCTCCCTATAGTACATTTAAACTTTTGGAATAGTAATAACCGGCAGCATTTATCCTCAAAATGGTACTCCATCCATCCATCCATCGCGCAAGTTGTAAGCGTGAGAACGGAATGACGTGTGTTTGGACTTTGGAGCGTGTAGCCAGCCAGCGCAATGGTATTTAATTAGCAGCATTTAGGACGAGACAGGTTACGGATCCCACGAGATTTCCACGGAGATCCTTCCTGCAGGCGGTCCAAAAGGGCATGGTGAAATCAGTGAGCTGAAAAGCTCTGCTGCCACTGCCGGCCGCTACGGATCAACCTTTCCAGTTCTCACTGTCACGGTCCGCGGCCGTAGTCCCGAGCGCGCAGGACCAGCTTCGGCTGCTTCCCCCGACCCGTTTCCTCTCCCCTTCCCTTCCACCACGCCAGCGACATCGCCATCGCCAGCGGCAGTGCCAGTGGATCCTCTCGCTCCGCTGCAGACAGAGGTAGCTCGAGCAGCACTTCTCCTATTCTTCCTTCTCCCTCGGTGACGATTTCGTGCGTCTGGTGGTTGAGCAAATTCCTTCTTATTTTCTGATGAATCCCTCTCCATCTCTCTTTTGATCTGGTATATGCAACAGCAATGCATCTTCTCCTTCTTCTTCTTCTCCTCTTTGGAGGTAAAAAAAAGGGAAGGAATGTGGCTCTTCTTGGCCATTCTTCCCCAAAAAACAAGAGCTGGTGTCCCTTGATTCTTCTTCTCTTCCTGCCCAATTTTTTCACTGTTGCGTGGATGATTTTCACCCCATTCCTTCGGTGATTTGTTTTTCTTGCTCGAAATCCCAGGACGAGGCAAACTTACCCCCAAGGGAAATAATTGCCCGATTATTTCTTTATTTTTCCTTCTTGGTCTCGTCTGTCGCCACGTTCCCCTGATTTCCGCCGTATTTGGTGTGCGCAAGCCCACCCACTCCACCAAATCCCCATTTACCACCATTTTTTTAAACTGATTTCTTGCATTGACTTGTCTGCAGGTGACAGGGGATATAATGTGCGGCCCGGCGGTCTGCTTCTAGGACCAATTTGGGAGAAATAGGAAGCCAAACATGTTTGCTTTCTCGCGCCGGCGAATGAAGCTTGGAAGGTACACCTCCCATTTTGGCAATTATTAAGCTCCTGGACCTTATTCGATTCAGTACCAATTGCCCATTTTGGTTGATTTAATAAACACTGGGTTTGCATATGGTACTGGAGTGATGGTTTCTGGTGAGAAGCTTCTTCTTTCTTTCTTTTAATGGACTGTACCATGTTCAGACAAGCAGTGCTGATATAATTTTGTGAAATGTAAATCCAATGGTAACTTTATTGTGCAAACGATGAGAAAATGGTGAAAATCTAATGATTCTTTTGGTGAAATATAATCTAATGACTAAATTTGGTGAAATGTACTCCCTCCGTCCCAAAATATAAGAGTGTTTTTCATACTAGTGTAGTATGAAAAACGTTCTTATATTTTGGGACAGAGGGGGTACCTTTTAATCCAAAAACTCCGGATCCCGAGAAGTTTTGAAGATGGTGCTTACTTCGAATGAAATCCTCACTTGACTAAGCATAAGTGAAAACGTGGTTGAGGGGAGTGAGCAATTCCCTTTCATGGTGGTCGAGTCATGATTAGAAATATTGTGAAAGAAAGTGAAATGTCCTATCTCGTACTTAATGATAAAATTTTGTGACATGTGATCTAATGACAAATTTTGGTGAAATTTAATTTCATGATAAAACTTGGAGGATTGCAAATTTAAATTTAAGAAGCCACATATATTTGTAATGTGCGGTTAGCCTATGCACACTGTCTAGTAGTTCCTGAACTTACTGAAATCAAATTTCACATTTGAGGTCTGAATATTCTTGCTATAATTAATCGTATTTAGCTTCTTGTTATTCTTTTGCTCTTTTATCTTTCATGGCTGTACCTTCTTCAAGAATAACTAGAGATGATTCTCTCGCAAAGGAAAGCCGAGAGTGATGATCTCAAGACTTATGCAGGTCCAAGGGCCACAAGAGTGATCCTTTGCACGGCTCTAGGAGCCCTGGGGGGCACGTCAGCCTGTCAAATGTGAGCGCCTCTGTGACTAAAGTACTTATATCTATTGTTAGTTTTGTTATATTTGTGGCACATTTGGATGATAAGCACATTGGTTTGTTTCAGGGCGGTGACCCGATCACAGCATCGGTGAGTGGCCGTGCAGATGACCTTGCTTATCGCTGCTCTTCTGATTCATTTGATCTCGATGCCCGTGCATTGGATAGCTCGGAGAATTGGGCGGTGTTGCCCACAGAGGGCGACAAACCTGCTCCTCGTTTCTCTGTAAGCAACAACCTAAACTATGAACTCTTAACTGTGATCAAGTTCACAGCCCTCATCAGAATGTCGATATGTGTGTGCAACAGCACGCGGCAGCCATTATAGGCAGCAAGATGGTAGTTTTTGGTGGTGATTCTGGTCACCAGTTGTTGGATGATACAAAGGTAATTGTGGTTTTATGTGTTGTTATGGACTCCCTACTAGGAAATACTCCCTTTGTTCACAAATATAAGATGTTTTAGATATTTCAATATGGACTACATACGGACTGAAATGAGTGAACAAACACACTAAAAGGTGTCTATATACATCTGATTCACACAAAAATTAGAACATCTTATATTTGTAAACGGAGGGAGTATCATGTTATTCGGCAATTGACATTATGATCATACCTTTATGTTCATCAGATATTGAATCTGGAGAAGCTTACATGGGATTCTACCACCCCGAAAGTTCTTCCATCGCCAATTCGATCTACTTCCAAGTTGCCAGCCTGCAAAGGTCATTGTATGGTATACCTCTTGTAGCTCACTATTGTTGCAATTCTCACTATCTAATTCTTAATACAAATTAGCTTTATCAAGTTAATTGGCTACTAGTCATCTTATAATTATTTTTCCGTTGGGCCACTTTTTGCAATGGACCTGACAACTGAAATACACGAATGTGGCTTGATAGAGAAATAGCTAAGCTTGATCCTTTCGATGTACAGGTTTCGTGGGGGAATAGCGTTATTCTTGTTGGAGGCAAAAGTGAGCCTGCTACTGATCGTTTATCAGGTTCTCACACTTCCACAGCCCTTGGATTTATATGATGGTAACCTCCTCTGCCCGATAGATTACACAACCTGTGTTTGCTGCAGTTTGGGCTTTCAATACTGAAACAGAGATTTGGTCACTGATGGAAGCCAAGGGTGATATCCCTGTAAGTTATTAAGTATTGAGTGCTATGCTGCGGTTAAATATCCATTTGACCTGACAGAGTTTGTTTGTGGTTCGGATTTTAGGCAGCTCGAAGTGGCCACACAGTGACCAGGGCAGGCGCTACGTTGATACTTTTTGGTGGTGAGGACGCGAAAGGAAAGAAGCGACATGATCTTCACATGTTCGATCTCAAGTCATCGACATGGCTTCCTTTGAACTATAAGTAAGTCATCCTTCTGAATTCCGAAGAATCCTGTGCAGTAGAATTTCTTATTCAAATTTGCTTCATGGTTACATTTTTAGGATGTAAGTTAGTTATAATCATTGATAATCTTTCACTGCCTAATACTCTTCATCAAGAAGCATTCTAGTTTTAGAATTTTTATTTGAATTTAACATGCATTCTTGTATGCTGCTTGTTGCAGAGGCTCCGGACCTTCTCCTAGATCCAATCATGTTGCTGCATTGTATGATGATAGGATCCTTTTAATATTTGGAGGCCACTCGAAATCCAAGACCTTGAATGATCTATTTTCTTTAGATTTTGAGACAGTAAGTTTCGTGAGGTTACTTGATTACATCACCAATTATGTCACTCGGTATGATGCATGTTAATGGTTCTTTAAGTATCTATCTTCTTGTCAGATGGTATGGTCAAGGGTGAAGACAAATGGTCCTCACCCATCGCCTCGAGCAGGTTGTAGTGGAGCTCTATGTGGAACTAAGTGGTACATTACTGGTGGTGGAAGCAAGAAGAAACGTATGTTTCAAGCTTTCACTTTATGCCTAACATTTGAAAGATGAGTAGATAGATTCTGGTTCATATGTGCACGGCGTGCATTTTTAGAAGAATGCCGTGTCCATGTCATGTGGGAACTTCTAACAAGAAATCAAATTCTCAGGACAAGCGGAAACCTGGGTTTTTGATGTTCTAGAATCGAAGTGGACTGTTCGTGCAGTACCGCCTAGTTCCTCAATTACTACAAAGAAAGTAAGCCACCAGATATATGCTTGCCTCTCTTATGATGGTACTAAAATGCAACTCCGATTGTGTTCTAAGGAAGCAATACTAAAGTACAGAAATGATATTCATGTTTGTGTTCTGGACTTGTCGCTCACAATAGTTGAAATATTTATGTCTAGAGCAAAACTTCTTGCAGAAACAAAACCATGTACAAAGTGCAGTTCTAGTGTATAATACTTCCACAGGCCAACTAGTTATCATATTATCTCATTTTATCACATGAACCGATTTTTGCTTGGTTCATGCAGGGTTTCAGCATGGTTCCTTTGTACCACAGGGACAAGATCGTTCTTGTTGCTTTTGGAGGAAACAAAAAAGATCCATCCGACAAGGTGAAACTTTTACCATCGAGCATTTTCTTGTGTCACTTTGACGAGTTGCATTCTCATTTTGAACAAATATGATGGCAGTGTGTACTTCTCCTCGTGTTCTAAAGGCTTTCAACGAGCAACTTTTTTTTCAACGAGCAACTTTATCAGCGTTGTAGTGCTCACATTTTCTTCATAACATATTTTTTTCTCTCTCAAATCCCTTGAGTATATTTGGCACTTGCTTTCTAATTCTTGAAGTTTGTGTAATTGTCTCATCAACATGTCAATTGCCTGCACCTGAATATACTGAAACATTTGAATGTAAGAGTTTTGATGTCAAATTGAGATGCATCACTGAACATCTCTGTGGTTATCTGTAGGTTGAAGTACTGGTGGTACTGCAAAACGACCATTCTTATAGCTGGCGGTCTGCCCCAGATGTAGACCCATTGCTGTATGAATATTCTCCAAGCACCAAAGAGCTCGCCGGGCATCTCAACAAATGTGCTCCCTTGTACTCTAATAGTTCTGTTGCAAGGCACAGTCTCACCTCTACAGTCGAGCGTGCGTCTAGAGAGGAGCATGGAGCTCTGGGCACTTCGCTCCACAGGAAGTATGGTCAGGTAGAAGACTGCAGCAGCTTAGCCCAAAAGCTTGAGAAACTGATCGATGATGACAAATACGATGATGTCGATGACTGTTCTTCATGTCCAGCAAGCACCGTAAGTGACGCGCATCCAAGTCAATAGACAAGCACATACTTTGTTGCCATGTATATAGCTTGTTGTTTCTTGCAGCCGAAAGATCACCGGAGCAAGAGGACAGGGGCCGATACTCGGACTGACATGGCCAGAACTGTAGCCGTCAAGGAAGAAAATACTGACAACCAAGGACCAAGTGGAAGGAGGATAGCCAGGAGCTCTTCAGACATCAGCCATCTGTACAACAACAAAATAACAGATTTGATCAGAAGGAACGCGGCGCTTGAGGACCAGCTTGCAGCCGCACTGGCAAGCAAAGAGCAGGCAGAGAAGAACCTGTCCTTGGTCATGAGTAGTAGGGAGCAGCTGGAGAAGAGGCTGGCCAGTAGGGGGAAAGATGCTGAGCTGCTCAAGGAGAAGATAGCAGGCTTGGAGTTGGCACAGGAGGAGTCTAACAGCCTGTCTAATGCCGTGCACGCCGACAATGTGCGCCTCGAGCGGGAAGTGGCGTTCCTCAAGGCCATCGCGGATGAGACCCGAAAGGCAAGGACGATCCCCTAGCGCATGATGATTTTGGCTGCCTTTATTTTTTTCTGTTCTGAGTTTGTTTTGCTGCTCCTGCAGGAGATGCATTCCACCCGCAGAGTTTTGGCGGGAGAGCAGTCGCGGACGTTCCAGCTACAGGTATTTGAGACCTTGAACGGACGTCTTATATTATGGAACGGAGGGAGTACTTAGAATAGAATGCCGGTGCTTCTTAGGCCAGCATAGGTTTTCAGGATGCATCAGACTCTTATTCGTCATAATAGTGTGTAAAGTCTCCCAAAATCGTCTGACACTTCATACACTTTGACATAAATGAACTCTGTTCCTGAACACTCATGATCTTACTGTTTCTGATTGATCAGGTCGAGGTGTTCCATCTGAAGCAGGGGCTGCAGACGGCGGAAGGAAGATCCGTAACGCCAAGGAAGCCTCATAATCCTTAGTATTCAAAACAAGAAGCGGGGCGAGTTCATGATCATGTACTTATGCTAAATCTATGGGCTGTGGTTTGTAAATTGGCTTGTACATCCATTTTATAGTTGAGCCTATATGTAACAACAGGTTCTGTGTGTGAATCATTGTGCTTCGTGGATTGATGTTTGAAAGATTTACTGTAGATAGTCGACTGAGAGCAACTTCTTTATGATTGTCAACTTAATAACTGAAGTAATTTACAAATGCTGTTGCATTTCTTGCTTTCTCAGTGAGCTGATTTTCTTTCCTTGTCTGTGTAGATGACTTATTATTAATTTGATTAACTCAAGTCAGGTCTTCATTTGAAAAGGCTACAAGTTACTTGAAATGATATAATTTAAATCAAATAACCAAATTAAACTAGAAGGTGAGTCGGCAGTTTAGTCTTAGCATCCATAAATAACTTAGAAATGAAATGGCCACCTTTGTCTACACATCACCAACATTCCACTGTACAATTGTTATCACAAGCCCACATCACCATGATTCAATAAATGATGCTAGGTTACACCATAGATGAAAGTGAAGCAAAAACACATTACTTTTCATCGTCGTCTTCATCGTCGTCATCATCATCATCGTCATCTGGCAAGGCAGCATCATCGCCGATACCTTGCAGCAGGGTGTCCACGTCCTCACCGAGCTCTGCCAGCCTTGCACTCAGCTTCTCAACTTTACTTTGCTCCTGTCCCAGGCAGACGAGTAGATCGTTCAGTTCCACCTCACTTTCCTTCTCTGCCTCTTCCTTGGCTTGCGCTTTTATTGCTTCTATGTCCGGATAGGGAGCACTGCCTCCCTGCCTCAAGGTTTTCACCTCAGCATCAAGGCGGTAGTTGGACTGCTCAAGACTGTTGTAAGCATCTGCCAAGCTCTTGAGATCAGATTCAAGTTTTACTGCAAGATTTCGTTGGTTGCTAGCTTCGGCTTCGATCTGAGCTTTTTCAGTTCTGAGCACCTCTATTCGCCGTGCTGTGCCCTCCAGTTCTTGTCTCAGGGCTTCAATTTGGACCCTTTCTCGGCCACTGCTCGGTTTCTCAGAAGAATCTGAAGTGCTGCCACCACCAGTTCTCACTAGATCTTCTGCTAAGATTGCATTTCGGCCTAGCAAGTCCTGAAAAATGAAATCAAATAATATATTGTTACGTATTTCTGTACCAGGTAGAGTACGGTGTCCTTGAAGCTACTAGCAACCACAACCTGCCAGTAACCAGTTTACTTGATTCGACCAGTTGCTTCGAAACTGATCAACTTATGAACTAGGATTTATGACCTTTTGTACCAAGATAAAAATTATCAACTGGGTTACTTGCATATTCTTGAATATATAAGCATGTTACATGAAATATTTTATGCTTGTGAAAGAAGGGAAGCATTCATACTCCCTCCGTTTCTTTTTAATCTGCATATAAAATTTGATCAAAGTCAAACTTTGTAAAGTTTTACTAAGTTTATATGAAAAAATACCAACATTCGCAATATGAAACAATATTTTTAGATGCATTATGAAATTAATTTTCATACTGTATAACTTTAGTATTGTAGATGTTAATAATTTTTTATATAAATTTCATCAAACTTTACTTAGTTTGACTTCAAACAAATCTTATATGCGGAGTAAAAAGAAACGGAGGGAGTATTTCTCAGTGATATTGAGTTTTGCAGGAAACCAGCTTTTTCTTCAGCTATTGCTCAGCAATACTGAGTCAGGCAGCCGATTGATCACCATACTGGCCTATTTTGTTATTGAGAACTGAACAAGCTATAATTACAGAGCTAGCCCAACATTCATTAAGCACAGTTTGCCACAGCTTGCCTAAGAAAGCTAGGCCATGTTTCATTCACTGCCCAATCTATGGTTTGCCACACTTTATTAGCCGCATGGCCCATTGGCCATTCGTCATAGAGTAACATCTTTCAGCTAAGCTTGAGCATGTGGCTCCATTTTTCTTGGCTACAAGTTAGCCAAAAAAGTTTGCCATGCTTAGGTATTCTTAGGTTTCAACCAATCAGGCCTCTATGGTTTAAGTTCTATTCACCACATCATAATATAGAAGCGAAAAACTGATTCAAGAACAATTACTTGTTGCTAAGATCATGCCAACAGAACCTCAGTATTTACACGTGGAAGGATATTTCTTTTTCATACACAACTTGGCGCTCATGTAAACTATTATCAGAAATTGTGCAAAAACCTTTTTTTGTGAGAATGGCAGGATTAGTTTGGGTAGATGAATTCTTTGCTTGGAATTAATGTAATGAATAGGAAACTAACCTGCATCTCGTTGCACTGTCTCTCTACAAATGACTTCAACCGCTTGATATACTCTCCGTCAACCTCCCCGTTCTTCTGCTCCAACTCAACAGGTAGAACTGCAGTTGCAGTTTTTGTTCGACTGAAGAGATCCATTATACATTCTCTAATATCAGTCTCAAGCTTACTGAGTAAACTAACGAATTGTGAATCAAAAATTTCCGAAAGGACTGGATGTTGATCGCCTTTATTTGTTTCCTCCTCTTCAATCTCTTGGAAATCAGACATACTGTTTGCACTTGACCGTGAAAGCTGCTTGTGGTTCTGCTGCCCTGATGGTAGGTGAAGAAAGCTTTTCCGCAGCTCATCGAACCTCAAAAAGTATGTAGTAAGGCCAATCTTTTGGCTTATAGCATCTGCAACAGCAAAGGCATCTCGGCCCTTCTCACGGCTTGCATTATTGAGGACACAAGCACCTAAAACAACAGCAGCTAATCCACGGACGCAACCGGTGAAACGTTTATTCGCAGCAAGCTCGATTATGTAGTTTAGGTGTACCGCTGATTCCAAAAGGCAATTTACAGCATTTGCACAGTCCGCAAGCCATGTGATGAGTAGCCGGAGAATAACAGGCTGAATATATGATCCTTCTGATTGACTGCTTTGGTCATTCTCTCCTGCTAAAGCTGCAAAGGATAAACACGTAACAATCCGATGCAAGAGAGGCTCGGTGCGTCCCAAGGATGGCGTAGGTGTTTCAAGCTGAATTTGCAATACCTGAAAAGTTAAGTTGTTAGAAAGCCACCCATTGAAGCTGCATTGGTTTATGTTAGTTGTGAACTTGTAATTCAACAGTTAATCAATGCAAGAAAATCATATTAATAATAGAGTCAACCATTTGTTAGATAATCTCATCAATATGTTCAATTCAGACAAGTGGAATTACACAAAAATTAATTCTCAGCCAGTGGGTAGTTGGTTCTCCAGCCTACTTTGTACACGTAAAATTCAGACAATGAAAAGTTGCAAGGGAACATACGCGATCTTTGCATTGCAAGTTGTCCTTGATTATGTGAGTAAGAACACTAGATGCTCTGCAACATGCCTGCAAATTTTAGGATCAATCGTCAGATTTTTAAATCAGATAAGAGAGAGGAAAACTGCAGGTATTGATTACATGACATCTCGAACAATCAACTTTCTCATTCTAAACTAGACAATAAGACTTCCTTAGAACACTACTAAATGAGGACTTCAATTCAGATTACATCGTATATATGTATACAATAGAAAAACAACTCGAACAATGATCACAGCATCCAGCCTCTTGGTCATAAAATAAACTGAAGAGGCATATATCCTATGTTTTAAAGGCGTCCATAAGGCGACGCCTAGGCGACGCCTAGGCGTCGAGGCGCCCCCCCAGCGCTTTGCGCTTTAGGCGCCTAGGCGTCGCCTAGGCGTCGAAGCGCCCCCCCAGCGCCTTAAAGCAAGGCGTCGCCTTAAAAACATAGCATATATCAAATTTGAAGAGGAGAATGGTGGCAGAATGACAGCAAGGTCAAACAGCAAAGAAAGAATGTATGGCACTGTTTATATGTCCAAAAGAACTAGCAGCAGAGGGCATTGATTTATAATCATTTGGACCAAATTTAAAGAGATCTACTATCTGGTGTGTTGAATAGTGCGTTTGTATTAGAAGACATTACCTCCATATCTCCATTAACATCACTTGACACCAGAGCTTGCAGAAGTGCACTGCCATTACAATGGTAACATAAGTGAAGGTGCAATTTTATGAGTGATAGAATTCAGACTACAGAAAGCATCATGAAGTGTGGCAGAAACAGCAGCAACCATAGTGACATGTTATGGAGATGACAGAAATGGCCATCTCTAGTACAGTAGGTATAGGTGATCTCAGCAGTAAATTACGACATAATTAGAGCCAAAAGATAATGCTCCCATTGTACTAAATGCAACAGAAGGACCATAGACTAACCTTCCAAATGGCATGTCACTAGAAGCACCATGGGTAGCAGTTCCTTGGTTTGGATGTGGAGCAATAGTTGATGCTAATAATGCCTGGCCATTGGGATTTGTCTGTTCCATAAAGAGAAAACTCCTACTTATTATGTGCTTACACATACTGATATGCCAAAGGAGACCAAAAATTTAGCAGAAAGAATAGCCAATATTCTACTTAAGTTATAACTGAAAATGTGACCAAAATGATGAAAAATACTAATTGCCTCATTTAATGTCTCCTTATCTCCTTACTAACATGTTCATGATTATTTGAACCAGCAAAAATATCAGGAAAAAGATCACCTCGCAGAAACACTTGAAGACATAATCAGCAGCAACAAATTCCTGTGCTACAGAGGTTCGCAGGATTATAGCTAAGATCGCATTCAGTGCAGGCTGAACATGAGGTTCTTCCCCGACTTGCTTGCTTGCAAGAGAATCGAGATTTTGAGGATGTCTTAGTACCAAGCTGCCAATACACCGCAATGCCTGGAAAAAATGAACAGTGTACAAACATCCAACAACACAACTTAGTAAAACTATCATACATATAGTTGCATGGTACCTCAACTGTTATAAGGGACTCACCGTACAGCGAAGAGCTACAGGGGCCCACTGACTCTCAACGCCCAATAATAGAAGATGGTCAAGAATGTTTCTCTGTCATTTATTAGTAAAGCCCATATGATGAAACTTACTTCAATGTTATAAGGTAGACAACTAGAAAAGATATAAAGGGAGAAAAGGGTACCTGAGCTAGTGCAGTTTGATTGGTGATCTTGCTAGTATCTTTACCTGTTTCACCCGGTGGGCCCCCCATCAAAAGCAGTTCGACAGTATGTAAGGCACCGAGAAGATTTACCGTCTAAAGAGACAAGAGTTTTAACTTCAGCGAAGTATTGTTAATACAAGCTTTTTGGGCCAAACAGAACTACTTGTCAGTTTGAGTAATCTATCTGTGAGGCTATATAGGTGATTTTATAATGGTGTACCTTTTGTTGGGTAAAATTGAATGCACTGCCTCTCCTAATCTTTAGTATTGATATCAATGGGTCAAAGCCCATTGTCTCTTTCAAAAGCATCTGATATTAGCACAAAGTAATGTCAATGAAAATATGACCATCTAACACTTCAAAACAATTGTTTGATAGAAACATACCTGATTGGACGCATTGTTCCGTATTAAATTATTTAAAAGTTCAAGGCAATCCTGCTCCACAAAAAAGAACAGATTAGCAACAACAAAGTTTTATACAAATTGAAAAACAGCTTTCAAATGGAAACTGAACAACCAGAACTTTTAGACAATTCGGGTACACAATGGATCAGATCAGATCATATAATATGATTCCTGGATAATCACCTGAACAACGACGCCTCCATCAGAAAATCCCTCCTCCCCAATAATGCTAAACAACTTCTCAAATGCACCCTCAAATACAACAATTTTTTGAATTTCCTGAAAGGGTGAATTACCAGTCATTTAGTATTACACATATAGGTTCGAATTGATATCTGGAACATAATAAATCAACCAAGAATATGAGAGAGTAACCTCTGCGTCTCTGGTCAGATAAGTAAGAAGTAATAGTGCTTCATTCCTTATGACCTTCAACATGCATCAAAGATACCCATATGAGCTATATAACCAGGCAAGTAAAGAAACAAAGCAATAAAAATATGTTATAAATTGATGATGCTGGATTGCTGGGAACTCAACAATAACTTAGCATGACTTGTGGATTGCACCCATCAGAAAGTAATTTCAGCATTAACTGCATTTTTTAGCTTTTTCAAATAATTAACCCATGCTGCAGCCTAAGATAGAGGAGGTGCTACTGGAGTAAATAACATCTAATAATATAATTTATTTGTGACAGCACGTATATCAACTCCTTCAGAAGAACAGATAAGGGTCCAAATCAACATGATTGTACATCTCTACTTCATGTTGTAAATCAAAGTCATGCTGCTAACTGATTTCACACATTGTAACCATAAACCGTTTCCACATGCATTAGACTACTACTGCATGGATAACTTAGGATAAGCAAAACTGATATTAGCACAATAGATATGTCTGGATAGCATGTGTGCTTCTTTAGAGGAAGAGGGGAAAAGAGGTTGGTGCTAAACCTCGCGGTCCATAAGCATGTCCATTAAAACTGTTATGCCACGGGGAATTAATAGAATTGCCTCCTGTAATCTGAAACACCAAAAGGATAAAAAGGAGTTAAAAAGGTTTAAAGTGTAGTGGATGCATCCCAACAGAAAAAGACTTACTGGGCACCTTTTCAACGAGTTTGTAAGTAACGCTGTTAAAAGCTGGATTGTGTAATATCGCACATAGAAATCCTCCTCTGTCTTTGAACCAAACAGGAGGGAGAAATAAATCATGACAGATGAAGCAGGTAAAGCGAGTTACATGCAGTAAAAGCAAAGAATGTAAACTCACCAGTAAGCTCAAGAGAAGAGAAATATTGTCTGTTTCTCGAGAAAGCAAATCAGAGTTCATTGATGCCGGTTGGACCTCAGTTTTCAGTCCCTGTGACGTCTCAATAGGAGTCAGCGCGCTCACAAGGGTTTCTAGGGCACCTCTGACGAGCTCAACATCCTCACGGTCTTCTTTCAAAACGTTGAGAAGGACAGGGAAGCCTATTTTGCAAATTAGCAAGAATGTATCACACATCAGTCGCTCATAGAGATGAATGTACAAATACCAAGGACCCAAGTGAAATGATATACCCATAGCTCCAAAAGACATCTGAGCCGAACGGCTCTCCGCCACGAGGGACTGTAGCTCAGTCATGGCAGACCTCCTATCATCAGGCATCGTGCCGTTGCTTATGCGGTCAAGGAATCTCTCGACGTAGCTGTACAACATAATGCAGTTAGAGGGTCACTCGCTAAAAGTGGCATATGCCAATCAGGTGCTATGTTTTTCAGGCAACAATAGGCCTAAAAGTATGATTACACGACTGAACACAAATTTCATGCCGAATTGCCTACCTATCTTCCTTGGACTCGGACGCCTCGTTGCCGAAAACGAATCCCCCAATCCCCTGTGAGACAACACCAACAGAACATGGAGTTAATAAACATCAAACTTGCTCCACCAACCTGTGATGAAATCATGGCATCACATTGGCCCAACTGCTACTAGAGCACGAGCTCCAACGGAATGAAGCATTCCATGCTAAAAAACGGAAAAAAAATACATAACACCCTATGAGACTAGAACTCGTTCATACGACCGGCGAAACGCCTCGTCGGGCTCCGACCTAGGGTGCGTCGGTGACAGGGAGGAGCAGGAGCGGTCGGGGACGGGTTCGATTAAGGTCGTGGGGGGAGGGGGTGTGCACCTGCATGATATTTTTTCCTGCGCTTCCGGCGAAGCCCCGAAGGTTGATCGACCGGGATTCCATGGATCGCGAGCGCCTGTGTGGAGTAGCGAGGGACAGTTAGCCGGATCGTATAGGTTGAAGAAGACTTAGCAGACACAGTGCGTATTCTTGGGAGGGAAGGCGGTTCTAACCTGGGAACCGAGAAAGATCGCCGCGGCGGCGGCGGCGGCGGAGGTGAGGTGGAGACTGGAGATCGGGGGGGTGGACGGGGAAGCAACCAGGGAGGGGTGGGGAGGCAGGCTGGATGGAGTCGGGGTCACGGGGGATTTTGGTTTGCTTGCTGAGGTGACGTGGCATACCTCCTCCACTGTTTGCACCGAAGCAAGAGCAACCGTGGAAATGCTTCCACGCTCTCGCTCACAAGGGTTTCTAGGGCACCTCTCACAAGCTCTAAGGGTGTGTTTGGTTGCTGTGACCAGATAGAACGTCATGGGTCCGACCCGTTCCCACAGCTCATTCCCGCGTATGGTTAGTCGAACAAATCAGAACCCACTCGTCTCAGGGAATGGAATATTCGCTCATTATCCGGAATCGAGGCATACCTCGAAATCGACCGAACGACAGGGCCCACGCCCGTACCCTATCCTCTCGCAACTCCTTGCACTAGCGTCGCCACCCTCCCACATCTCCCTTTCTCTCGATCTGCCTTCTCCATTCCTCCCCGGCGCTGACTTCACGTTCCTCCCGTCGTCTCCTCTGTGATGGCGCGCATCTGCACCTTGGCGGCGACCTAGCAGCAGCGAGCCAGCGACGAAGCAGCGGGGCGGTTACCACTCAGGAGGCGGCGACGAGAGAGCAGGGAGCGACCGAAGGTGCTGCCGCAAGGTCTGGATCGGCGGCGGCCATGTACGGTTTCCACTACCCGTTTGTATATCTTTGTATATGTTCATGTTTGGGCAGATTTTATTTCATGTACGCTCCTCAATTTGTTTCATATATATATGTGCTTCTGTGCACTACCCAGATCCATGGTTATCCAATTTTTACTTCAATATGTGCTGCTGTGTACAACCTAGATCCATGGTTACAAGTCATTGCTAGCCATATTTTTGATAGTATGCATCATTTGTACATGGTCACGAAGACCACGTTCATGTGAAATCTGGTGGAAGCCGCTGCTTTTGTTGCACTAGTCGCAACGTCAGTCATTGTTCGGCTATAATAAGGAAGGGAAGACCTCATTCATATGAAATCTGGTGGGTTCAAACTTGTGGCTGAAGCTCTTGTGAAATTTGAAAGAATTTGATGGCTGAAGCTTGTGGCTGAATCTGACGGGATGTAGTCTCCAATTTAAAAGAATTTGATGAAGAGCTCATGTATGATTTGTATGTGAACTCATGTATGGCTGATTGCTTTTGGATGATTTGTATGTGAACTCATGTATGGCTAATTGTTTTTGGATCTGATGGATGAACTTGCTACCTTCTGTTAAGTTTGTGCCTGGTTTATGTCATATATGTGTGATTTTTGTCGATATGTATGTTGTCGTGCTGTTTTTCTTCAAAATACAAATGAAATGCTGCCAAAATTTTGAATTTTAGGTGGTTCAATTTTTCATACCGTCTCTCTAACCAAACACCGGAACGGAACCAACCCGTTCCGCTTTTTTGTTGGTACCAAACACGGGAATAGAACGAACCCGTTCCTATGGAATGGAACCATTCCATTCCGTTCCACTTGGTTCCTCAACCAAACACACCCTAACATCCTCTCGGGTCTTCGGCTTCGGTGGCGAGTTCGATGAGCTTGATATTTTAGTATTTTGAATTAATTTTCGATTCGAGGAAATTGGATTTGAGGTTTTTCACGACGAGCTATATACCTTATGAGACAAGCAGACCCTTCCGAGGACCAATCATGGGTCCCAGCTGATAGTCTTCGGACACACCGCTCCTTAGGGTCCCACTGTTCATATGTCTAATCAAAAGACAAAAGAGTCATGATGGCCCCGAATTCTACTTTAGTGGCACCATCAACGCCTGTCTCGATCTATGTACGCACATAAGGCACGACACCTGGGAAACACGCGGATTTACCGCTGCAAGACTCAGCGTCCTATTACCCCGCGACCAAGTTTTTTTCCATATAAAGTAAAGGAAATGCGTCAAAGATTTCACATCCTTTCCACTCGTTCCATTGCCTTCACGCGGATCTCGTCTCCTTTCTCACCTCCATTGCTGCTTCGAAAGCTCAACATAATGGGGAACATCCCTAGCTCGTCAATTCGCCCCGCCGGTCCCCTTGAAGCAGAGTGGAAAAGTTGCTTGGTTGCTCAAGGGAAATTGAATCGTCTTGCTACCCGGGGATACCTACCTGACCTAGAATTTGCGTGGATTCGGCCTGGCTTGGTTGCTTTGGACGACGACCTGCTCAATGATAATTTCCCGGCGCTGTAGGTTGACGAGCGGGTAAGCTTCGTCCAGGGGCTAGGCTTTCCAATCCACCCCTTCCTCCAGGTCCAGGGTCTCCTGAAGTTTTATGGGATCCAACTCCATCACCTCACGCCCCACTCAATCCTTCACATAGTCGGCTACGTCGCTTTATGTGAAGCCTTCCTTAGTGTAAAACCCACTTTGACCTGTGGTGCAAGTACTTTTGCTTGGTCCCGCATATTCGGGACAACATCATCTTTGAGGTAGGGGGCGCCGAGGTGTGCCGAATTGCTGGGGTTGGGTATCTTCCAAGCACCCCTAAGGAGGACAGCGAGACCTGGCAACACGAATGGTTCTACATCTTTGACGTTCCACTCGAGGATCCTCTTCGGCAAGGGCTTCCTCCCTTTACTCCTGGTCCTCCAAAAGAGTGATACAACTGTCATCCGAGGACTCAAGCCCGAGATGGGGGCTCCAAGGTGGCTAGGCTTGCCACTCAAGTCACTTGCCTCGGCCATCACAAGCTCACCATCGTCAATGTGATGGCAGTGGCTCTTGCCCGAGGAGTCCAGCCTCTCCAGCAACACTTTCACCCATGTGGTAATATAATGGGGCCAACCACTCGACCTGCGCCATCAGGGAAGGGTTCACAAATCATCAAGAGATCGGAGCTGCGCTGGAGGCGATGTTTAAGGGCGAAGGGGGCGATCTTGCCAAAGATCCTATGTTCGACGGTTTTGCCAGCTATAAGCCGGTTGAAGCAGTAAGTTTTATTTACTTGCATTATATTTATTGAAGATGGTATTTATCTTCTTGATCAGACGTTTAACATATTCGAGCAAAATTGGAGGCGATGGATCAAGACTGTGAATTCCCCCGCTCCTCAACCTAAGCTCCATGTTCGTGATGATGACCTCGACTTGACCGAGGATCCTCATACCGACCTCATCTTCAAAGATGGGGTCTTCTATTAAGAAGGCATCGACGGCACTAAAGTGCCTATTATGTTTGACCGTGTGGGGATGTTATCTCCCGTTGTCAATGCAGCCGCCGATCATCGCCCCGCAAAGCAAAAGCGGTCCCTCTCCCACGCTGCTCCTGCCGCGAGCACCTTTGCCCCTTCCAACAAAGGTTGTCAGTCTAAGCGCTCGAGAAGAGCTCCCGCCGAAGAAGGGGATGAACTGAGGATTAACCCTAGGCCTATCATCAAACTGGTTGCCCCGAGGAGCTTGTAGTGCAAGAGACACCCTCCTTTACTTTCTAAGCGCATACCTACAATTTTTTTTGCAAGTGATGGCTCTATAATTTATGCATTTTTAGAGCTCATTTGTTGTTGTTGGGGAACGTAGTAATTTCAAAAAAAATCCTACGCACACGCAAGATCATGGTGATGCATAGCAACGAGAGGGGAGAGTATTGTCTACGTACCCTCGTAGACCGAAAGCGAAAGCGTTAGCACAACGCGGTTGATGTAGTCGTACGTCTTCACGATCCGACCGATCAAGTACCGAACGCACGGCACCTCCGAGTTCAGCACACGTTCAGCCCGATGACGTCCCTCGAACTCCGATCCAGCCGAGTGTTGAGGGAGAGTTTCATTAGCACGACGGCGTGGTGACGATGTTGATGTTCTACCAACGCAGGGCTTCGCCTAAGCACTGCTATAGTATTGTCGAGGTGGACTATGGTGGAGGGGGGCACCGCACACGGCTAAAAGATCAACTTGATCATTTATTGTGTCTATGGGGTGCCCCCCTCCTCCGTATATAAAGGGGGAAGGAGGAGGGGGCCGGCCAAGAGGAGGAGGCGCGCCCAAGGGGGGCAATCCTACTCCAAGTAGGTTTTGCCCCCCCCCTTTCCTATTCCAACTAGGAGAAGGGGGGAGGAGGAGGTGGAGAGAAGAGGAGAAGGGGGGTCGCGCCCCCTCCCCTTTCCCAATTCGGATTGGGGCAAGGGGGGCCGCGCGCCACCTCCTGCTGCCTCTCCTCTTCCACCACTTTGGGCCCATGAGGCCCAATAACCCCCGGGGGGGTTCCGGAAACCCCTCGGTACTCCGGTATATATCCGATAACCCCCAAAACCATTCCGGTGTCCGAATATAGTCGTCCAATATATCAATCTTCATGTCTCGACCATTTCGAGACCCCTCGTCATGTCCGTGATCACATCCGGGACTTCGAACAACCTTCAGTACATCAAAACTCATAAACTCATAATATAGCCGTCATCGAAACGTTAAGCGTGCGGACCCTACGGGTTCGAGAACTATGTAGACATGACCGAGACACGTCTCCGGTCAATAACCAATAGCGGAACCTGGATGCTCATATTGGCTCCTACATATTCTATGAAGATCTTTATCGGTCAAACCGCATAACAACATACGTTGTTCCCTTTGTCATCGGTATGTAACTTGCCCGAGATTCGATCGTCGGTATCTCAATACCTAGTTCAATCTCGTTACCGGCAAGTCTCTTTACTCGTTCCGTAACACATCATCCCGCAACTAACTCATTAGTTGCAATGCTTGCAAGGCTTATAGTGATGTGCATTACCGAGTGGGCCCAGAGATACCTCTCCGACAATCAGAGTGACAAATCCTAATCTCGAAATACGCCAACCCAACAAGTACCTTCGGAGACACCTGTA